CAGCCCATCCCCGCACTGACCGCACCCGCACTGACCACACCCGCACTGCCCAGCCGCTCCCCGCATCCTATCCCCGCGCTGACCAGCGGTTCCTTTCCCCCTGCTCCCCTCACCCCGCACTGCCCGCAGCCCATCCCCGCACTGACCACACCCGCACTGACCACACCCGCACTGACCATCGGTTCCTTTCCCCCCGCACTCCCCAGCCGCTCCCCGCATCCCACCCCCGCGCTGCCCGCTGTGTCGCCGCCCGCTCCCCGGTGCACCTGCCGGTGCCGGGTGAGGCTCTGCGGGTACCCGAAGGCTTTCCCGCAGGTGTCGCAGCGGTAGGGCCGCTCGCGGGTGTGCACCACGCGGTGTTTGCGCAGGTGGAACGACTCTCGGAAGCGCTTCCCGCACACGCCGCACTCGTGCGGTTTCTCCCCGGTGTGGATCCGTTCGTGCCGCCGCAGCGTTTCCCTGCGCCCGAAGGCGCGGCCGCACACGGGGCACGGGAAGCTGCGCCCGGGGSTGCTCCCGGTGCTGTTCCCGGTGCTCGGGGCCGCTCTCCCGGTGCTACCGGAGCTCTCCCCGTGCGCCCGGCGGTGCCGCAGGAGGCTCTGAGGAGCCGTGTACGCTTTCCCGCAGAGCTCGCAGCGGTGCGGGGTTCGGGGAGCTCCGTGTCCCGCCTGGTGCCGCAGCAGGTACGCGCCGTCACGGAACTCCTTCCCGCACACCGGGCACGGTAAGCGCCGCGCCGGGCCGGCGTGGGTTTTCACGTGGCGAGTCAGGCTCTCGCGGCGGTTGAAGCGGCGGCCGCAGGCGGAGCAGGCAAACGGTTTCTCTCCGGTGTGGATGATCTGGTGCTGCGCCAGGTGACTCTGCTTCTTGAACGCCTTCCAGCACAGCGGGCACGGGAACGGCCCGTCCGAGCCGCCCGCGGCCACCGGCACCGCGCCCGGGGCCAGCAGCACCCCGCTGGGCACCGGGATCACCGCGCCGGGCACGGCCACCGCCACGCCCGGGGCCACCAAGTTCACCCCGTTGGCCACCAGAGCGGTGGTGGGGAGGGAGGTGGTGAGCGCGGCGGGAGCGGAACCAACACCGACACCGCGGCCGGCGCTGACCGCTCCGGCCACCGCTCCGGCCACCGCGCTGGGTGCCACTGTGACCGCTCCGGACACTGCACTAACCGCGCTGGGTGCCACACTGACCGCTCCGGCCACCCCGCCGACATTTGGCACCGCGCTGACCACACTGCCCGCTCCAGCCACGGCTCCGACTGCTCCGGCCACCGAGCCCAGCCCGTTGACGTTCGGCGCGGCACTGACCGCTCCGGCCACCCCGCCGACATTTGGCACGGCGCTGACCACTCCAGTCACTGCTCCGGCCACCGCACCGGCCGCTCCGGCCACCGCTCCCATCCCGTTGGCGTTGGGCGCTCCGGCCCCGTTGGTGACCCCGTTGAGCAGCGCGGGTCCCGGTGCGGCTCTGCCGGGCTCATCGGTCACATCCCGGTGACAGCGCCGGTGCCGCACCAGGCTGGAGCCGTGGCTGTAGCTGCGGCCACAGGTGCGGCACTCGTAGGGCCGGGACTCGCCGGGGCTGTGGCCGGTGCTGTGGCCGGTATTGTGTCCATTCCCGGTCCCGGTGCTGTGCCCATTTCCAGTCCCGTGCCTGGTTCCAGTGCCGCTCCCATTCCCGGTGCCGTTTCCAGTCCCGTGCCCCGTTCCGCTCCCATTCCCGCTCCCATTCCCGTTCCCATTCCCGTTCCCATTCCCATTCCCATTCCCGTTCCCGTGCACCTGCATGTGCTGCACCAGATGCGACGCCTGTTTGAACGCTTTGGGGCAGGCAGCGCACGGGAAGCGCCGCTCCACCAGGTACTTGAGGCGGCGGAAACAGCTCCGCTCSTCCTTGGCCTCTGCCGGTACCGGCGATGATCCCCCGGTCACCGCCGGGCCCCGTTTGAGCCCCCCGAAGAGGT